GTGGGCAAGGGAGTGATGATTACAGATTCTGAGATTGTCTTTCTGCTGCCCTCTGCTTCTCTCCATGCTTCCCCTGTGCCCCCCCCCCCCCCCCTCGGGAAGCAGCCCCAAGCTGAAGGGGGATCCGTGCGGCCGCTCCCCGTCCGCTTCCCCCTCCGTTCCGCTTCTCTCGGAGCTGCGCGGGGGCCCGGGGGGAGGCCCCGGGGGGGTCGGCGGTGGAGGGGGGGGGCCGGCGGGGGGAGGGGTCGGCGGGGGGGGCGGTGGCCCCCCCCCCATGGCGGCGCTCGCTGGGGGGCCCAAGGCTCTGGGGAGGAGCGCCGCCGGGAGCGCGAAGCTCAAGGGGAGCAACGGGAAGCGCGAGAGGAGCCCCTCGTACGACGGCCTCGTCACGCCGCGCGGTCAGTCGCGGCGCTCCCAGCGGCGCTTCCCATCGCGTCACCACCTCCACCACCATCACCACCACCATCACCACCATCACCACCATCACCACCTCCACCACCATCACCACCTCCACCACCATCACCACCACCATCACCACCATCACCACCATCACCTCCACCATCACCACCATCACCACCACCACCTCCACCACCATCACCACCTCCACCACCATCATCACCACCTCCACCACCTCCACCATCATCACCACCTCCACCATCACCGCCATCACCACCACCACCACCTCCACCATCACCACCTCCACCATCACCACCTCCACCACCACCATCACCACCATCACCACCTCCACCACCACCATCACCTCCACCACCACCATCACCTCCACCACCACCATCACCTCCACCATCACCACCTCCACCACCACCACCACCTGAATGAATGTTTCTGATTGTGCCCCCCCCCCCCCCCCCCGTGGCAGGCGGTGGCCGTGGCAAGAGGAGGGGGGGGGCCACCCAGCGGCGGGCGGCCTTCACCGCGGCCCCCGAGTGGGGGGGGTCTGGGGGCGAGAGCGAGGACGACCGCCCCCTCCTCTCATCCCCACGTGAGACCCCCCCCCCATTCTCACACCCCCCCCCACTCTCACACCCCCCCCCCCCCACTCTCTCTCACCCCACGTGGGGTGTTCATCCAGCAGTGGATTGACCAGTGTCATCCCCTCTCTCCCAGCATGCCCTGGGGCAGGGGTGGGTGGACCCCCTATGGCCACCCTGATCGGGGTGACCTCTGACCTCTCGGAGGCCTCCCAGGCTCCCCCCAAGCCCCCCCTCTCTGCCCTCGTGTGCGTCTTCTCCACCCAGCTGCTGAACAAGTGAGGGGATACCACAATCACCCAGCCACTCACCCACCCAGCCACTCACCCAGCCACTCACCCACCCAGCCACTCACCCAGCCACTCACCCAGCCACTCACCATAACTCACCCAGCCAGCCACTCACCCAGCCACTCACCCACCCAGCCACTCACCCAGTCACTCACCATAACACTCACCCAGTCACTCACCCACCCAACCACTCACCCAGCCACTCACCATAACACTCACCCAGCCATCCACTCACCCAGCCACTCACCCACCCAGCCACTCACCCAGCCACTCACCCAGCCACTCACCCAGCCACTCACCATAACACTCACCCAGCCAGCCACTCACCCAGCCACTCACCCACCCAGTCACTCACCCAGCCACTCACCCAGCCACTCACCCAGCCACTCACCCACCCAGCCACTCACCCAGCCACTCACCATAACACTCACCCAGCCATCCACTCACCCAGCCACTCACCCACCCAGCCACTCACCCAGTCACTCACCATAACACTCACCCAGTCACTCACCCAATCAACCACCCAGCCACTCACCCAGTCACTCACCCAGTCACTCACCCAGCTACTCACCCAGTCACTCGCTCACCCAGCCACTCACCCAACCACTCACCCAGCCACTCACCCAGCCACTCACCCACCCACCCACCGACTCACCCTCCCACACACCCATCCACCCACTCACCCACCCACCCACCCAGTCACCCACCCACCCACTTACCCACTCACTCACCTACTCACTCACCCACCCATCCAGCCACTCACCCACCCACCCACTCACCCACCCTGTGTGTGTCTGTGTGTGTGCGTTTCTGTGTGTGTCTGTGCGTGTGTATATCTCTGTGTGTTGTATCTCTGTGTGTTTCTGTGTGTGTCTGTGTGTGTCTGTGTGTGTCCGTGTGTGTGTCTCTGTGTGTGTCTGTGTGTGTCTGTGCATGTGTATATCTGTGTGTGCGTGTCTCTGTGTGTTTCTGCGTGTGTCTGTGTGTGTGTCTGTCTGTGTCTGTGTGTGTGTGTCTGTGTGTGTCTGTGCGTGTGTATATCTGTGTGTGCGTGTGTGCGTGTGTGGCATGCAGGGCGGCGGAGGCTGTGAACCAGGGCCGTGTCGACTCAATCCTCGCCTTCCACCAGCAGAACGCCTCCAACTGCAAGACGCAGGCTGTGCGGGTGAGTTGGCGAGCGGACGCTTTGCAACCCACCACCACCACCGCACCTCCCATGAGCACGCTTGGCTACGTACGGTGCGAAAGAAGTTCAACACACACACATACGTACACAACAACAACAACCGCCATTCTCCACTCAGTGGCGGTGACATCACCACGATGCTTGTGCCAGGCTAAGTGCACCTTGAGGCTGTCATGTGAAGTGTCGAACGCCCGCTGGCAGGAGGTCACGGGGCAGACCCAGATGCCACGACTGACTGGGATGACCGGTAGATACACCAGCTGTGCCCCCCACTGTGCCAACTTTGCTGTATTTTAGTCGCCCGGCGCTCCGCTCGTTGTTGTGAAGCTGCTTGGGCAAGCGGTGGCTGGGCATTGCGGGCTACATGACACAGCCAACGCAGCCTTGCCTGCCGGAGGAGCTCACCGATGGGACTTTGTCCAGATCTTTCAAGGATTTGTGAGCTCCTCACACAATCCAGCCTGGTTAAACCCAGGATGGATCGTAGGCAGGCCAGCCTAAATGTTTCTAACCGGCGAAGATGCTCCATTAGGGGGCTCCACGTTTTGCAAGCATAGAGAAGGGAGAAGACCCGAAGCTTCGTGCGGAGCGACAGACCAGGTAGCTTCCACACAGCGTTATGCAGCCGATAAAAAGATATTGCCGCTCGACTGATTCTGAGTGAGACCTCTGCTGTTAAACTGGAGCCGGTCATAAGCACACTGCCCAGGTTTGGGAAATTCTCTACTCTCTCCACTACTGCCCCATCACCGATTGGGAGTTGTGGGGGTGGAGTGTCCTATGGTACAAAATACCCAGGCAGGTGCTTAGTTTTGGTGGGCCTGATGGTGAGGCCCCACACACACACACAGAAAAAGATCCCCCGTGTAGCCTTAACAAAATGTTTGGGCAAGTGCTGTTAGCGAGTAGCACCTATGAAGGCCGGCACGGCACACGAGGGGGTGGGTGGCCAGCACCACGCCCGGCCGCGATGTTTACACACCGCACCAGATACTCATTTGAGGCCGAGTTTACCTAGAGGAGGCCCAGGACCGAATCAGATAATCGTCACCGGCGTTGGTGGCCATGAGCGGGAATTGAACTCGGGTCACCGGGTTTGTAGCGCAGTGCGGCGCTAACCGCGACACTGACGCTCCACCATACCCAGGACCCAGACCCACCCACACCCACCCACCCACCCCACCCACTCCCACACCCACCTACCCTCCCACACCCACCCACCTACCCACCCACTCACCTACCTACCCACACCCTCCCACACCCACCCACACCCACCCACCCACACCCACCCACCTACCCACCTACCCACCCACATCCATCCACCCACACCCACCCACACCCACCCACCTACCCACCCACATCCACCCACACCCACCCACATCCACCCACACCCACCCACACCCACCCACCCACCTACCCACTCACATCCACCCACCCACACCCACCCACACCCGTCCGTCTATCCATTCACCTCCCCCCCCCGTGTTGTTGTGCGAGCGTCGTGCACTGCAACGACACCTGCCAGACACGCTGCCGCTGTGCTTGTTGTGTGTGTGTGTGTTGTCGTTGTGGTTGTGTGTGTGGTTATTCTCGCACCGCAAGAAGAGCCACCTCCTGCTGCAGCAGCAGCAGCAGCAGCCGGCGCGACAGTGGCGCCCGCCCAAGCAACTCGGCGGCGCCTTCTCCCCTGCACCGCCGGCGGCCTCCAACCCGTCCCGCACGCCCCCCTCCCTCCTCCTGCACGCCGACGGAGACCTCGCGGCCGCCTCCTCCTCCTCCTCCTCCCCCGCCTGCGCCAACGCCAACGCCGCCGCCAACGCCGCCGCCGCCGCCAACGCCCCGATCGCCGGCGCCATCGCTGCGTCCGACGGCAAAGCTTCACCGGATCCGGACGCGGAAGGAGCCGTCGGCGATGGCGGCGACGGTGGCGGTGGCGCCGAAACCGTTTCTGCGGCAGCGGCGGCAGTGGCAGCAGCTGCTTCAGCGGCAGCAGCAGCTGCCGGCAATGGCGACGACGGCCATTCCGGTTGCGCCGGCCCCGGCTCGTCTGCCGCCGCCGCCTCTCTCCTGTTGCTTCCCTCGGCTTCCCCGGATCCGGCAACGGTGAAACCAGAAGCGCCGGAACCTGGGGTGGAGGTGCCGGCTGAAGACGCAACAGCAGACCTGCAGCAGCAGCAGCAGCAGCAGGAGGGCGACGGTCAGGGCGGTGGATGCGTGGCGACGGCCGCGCCGGAACTTGCCGGGAATGCGTCCGCCGAGGTGAAGGTGGAGCGAGCGATTGACTCTGAGGGCGGTGGTGCCGGCGGTGCCTCGGCCGCCTCCGACGAAGATCAGCAGCAGCTGCTGAGCGCCGACATTGCGGACGACGGCGTCGCCACGGCGCCCGGCGACAGGGCGGCCGCGGCGGTGGCGGCGACGGCGGTGAAGCTGGAGGCGCCGTGCGTCGACTCCCTCGGCGGCTCGCCCGGCGTCGGCTCCGCCGCCGGCGCGGCCGAGGTCGCCGTGGCGATGGAGCAGCAGCAGCAGCAGCAGCAGGACAACCCCGAGGGGCTCTCCCAGGAGCAGCTGGAGCATCGTGAGCGCTCGCTGCAGACGCTGCGCGACATCCACAAGCTGCTCTTCCCCGACGAGAAGGACGACTTTCTCACCAAGGGCGCCGCCGCCGCCGCCGCCGCCGCCGCCCTCTCGTCGGTGGCGGCCGCCGGGAGGGCCGGCGACAAGAAGCCGCCGGACGGGCCCCTGCAGGCGATGATGGCGCAGGCGCAGAGCGCCGGGCAGCTGGGCGAGCAGGGCCCCGCGGCCTTCCGGGGCGGCGGCGTGGGGCCCGAACAGTCGATGATGATGATGATGGGCGGCGTCGGCGCGATGGGTCCTCAGCAGCACGGTGCGGTGATGATGCCGGGTTTGTCTTCCTCCCCACAGCACCACCAGCAGCACCAGCAGCAGCAGCAGCAGGAGCAGCAGCAGCAGCAGCTGTTTGCGCTGGAGAGTCACTTGATGGGCGGCGGCGGGGGTGGCCGCGAGCCCCTGAGCCCCGAGCAGGTGGCGTGGCTCAAGCTGCAGCAGGACTTCTACGAGGATAAGCGGCGCCGGCAGGAAGGGGTGGGCCACATGGGGGGGGGGCCGGGCGAGCTGGCGCCCCTGGAGGGCGCGGGGCGCCCCCCGCCGCCGCCCTACATGAAGAACCTTCCCGACGGGATGATCCCCGAGCTGGTGGCGCGATTCTCGGACGGCCCCGGCAGGCCCCGGCGGGATCCCGGCGGGGGGCGTCATGTTCTCCGAGCAGGCGCCGCCCTCCCAGCCGCCGCAAGGCACCATGGGAAGGCACGCCGCCGAAGGGATGCAGCCCCCGCAGGGAGAGGGGGGGCAGTTCTCCGGCGGGATCCCCCCGGGGATGCCGGGCCGCGTGCTCGAGAGGATTCCGCCCGGGATGGGCGGTGGAGCCGGTGGAGTCGGCGCGCAGTTTGGTGACGCGATGAGCCCGGAGATGGGTGGCGGTGGCGGTGGCGGCGGCGGTGGCGGTGGCCGCTTTCCCATGGGAATGGGAATTCCGGGGCAGATGGGAGACGCGGTGCAGCAGCAGCAGCAGCAGCAGCAGCTCCACCCCCACCACCACCCGCACCACCACCCGCATGGCGGCCACCCCGCCCACCACCACCCGCACCACCACCCGCACCACCACCCGCACCACCCCGGCCACCACCACCCTCACCACCATCCCGGCCACCATCACCCGCACCACCAACACCCGCACAACCCTCACCTGCCTCACCACCTGCACCCCGATGTCGGGAAGCAGTTTGCGCCGGGAATGGTCGCGCGCTTCCCGGACGGGATTCCCGTGGGGATGGAGTCCCCCATGACGCCGCAGCAGCAGCAGCAGCAGCAGCATTTCCCGCACGGAATGCCGCCTGCGATGGCCGCCAGATTCCCGGACCCCAACGGATTCCCCCAGCCGCCGCGCGGCCAGTCCATGATGCGATTCCCAGCGCACCGATTTACGGGGAACCTCATGATGCAGCAGCAGCAGCAGCGCATGATGATGATGCCCGGCGCGGCCATGGATGGCGCAAACGCCAAAGCGATGATGCAGCTGCAGCAGCAGCAGCAGGGGTTGAGACCCGGCGCCCGTGGCTCGGTGGGTCCCCTGTCCGAGATGGAGGAGCTGGTGATGATGGGACGACCTCTGGGCAGCCCGAGCAACATCCAGGAGGCGCTGATGCACCAGCACCAGCTGCAGGAGCGCCGGCGCATGGAGGCGGTGGCGGCCGCCGCGGCCGCAGCAGCAGCAGGGGCCCAGCAGCAGCAGCAGCAGCAGCAGCAGGGCCTGGAGGCGTCGGCGCTCGACCTGGAGCAGGTGTTCCGCTCGCAGAAGCACCTCGACCCCGTGAACTGCGGGGGGCTGAACGGCAAGAACCCCTCTCCCAGTCTCATGTCGGACGTCGCAGAAGCAGCGGCCGTCTTGCAGCAGCAGCAGCAGCAGCAGCAGCTATCGATGGAGCTGCAGCAGCAGCAGCAAGGCAGCATGGGGATGAGCATGGCGGCCTTGGCGGGCAAGGCGGGCGACCGGGAGATGATGAGGGCCCACCAGGAGGAGGTCCTGCGCTCGGGCGGCGTTCTGCATCATCAGCACGGCTCGGTGGCCGCCGGTGCCGCCACGCCGGCCTCGGCGTCAGGAGGAGGAGGAGGGAAACCCGGGATGATGCAGCAGGCGGGAGGACCGTACGGAGTGGTGTCTCGCTCGCCTGGACTCACTCCTGGACCACCGACCCTGCAGCAGCAGCAGCAGCAGGAGGCCATGCAGCAGCAGCAGCAGCAGCGGTTCATGGGCGGCGATCCCAAGATGGTGGGTGGGATCGCAGCTCAGCGGTTGAGCCACATCCCTCCGCTGCCCGAGGGAGCGCAGCTGCAGCTGCAGCAGCAGCAGCAGCAGCTGCAACAGCAGCAGCAGCAGCCGCCTGCGTCGCAGCCTCCGCCGCAGAGGGGCCGTGGGCGGCGGCCGGCGGACGTGACGATCCCCAAGGGCGGCGGGGCCGGCGGCGGGCAGCTGGCGTCCCCCGGGCTGCACGCGCTCAAGTCGCCCACGATGAACCGCGGCGCGTCGCCCGTCTTCAACCCTCCGTCCGCCCCCATGAAGTCGCCCCTCAACCCCGTCGCAGCAGCAGGAGCCGCCTCCTCCTCCGCCGCCACCGTCACCTCGCAGCAGCAGCAGCAGCAGCAGCAGACGGTGTCCATCAAGTCGCCCGTCATGAACGCCCGCTCGCCCCGCGCCTCGCCCGGAGGCAACCTCAAGTCGCCCTCGGTGGGCGGCGTGCCCTCGCCCGCTTGGGACGCCGGCGGCGGCGGCGGAGGAGGAGGAGGATCCGCCGGTCCGGCAGGAGGCGGCGGTGGCGGTGGTGGTGGCGCCGGCCCCAAGGCGACGGGCACGCAGGCCAAGGGGAAGAGGGGCAAGGCCGCCGCCGCCGCCGCGGCTGCTGCGGCGGCGGCGGCGGCCGCAGCAGCAGCTGCTGCCGCGGCCGCTTCGAACTTCTCGCCAAACGAACCGAGTGAGTTACCGGTGGCGGCGCGGGCTGTCCGTGGTGGGAGTGTGGTGTGACTGGCTGTAGTGGTTGGGTGTGTGTGTGGTGTGACTGGCTGTAGTGGTTGGGTGTGTGTGTGGTGTGACCGGCTGTAGTGGTTGGGTGTGTGTGTGGTGTGACCGGCTGTAGCGGTTGGGTGAGAGTGTGGTGTGACCGGCTGTAGTGGTTGGGTGGGAGTGTGGTGTGACCGGCTGTAGTGGTTGGGTGGGAGTGTGGTGTGACCGGCTGTAGTGGTTGGGTGGGAGTGTGGTGTGACCGGCTGTAGTGGTTGGGTGGGAGTGTGGTGTGACCGGTTGTAGTGGTTGGGTGGGAGTGTGGTGTGACCGGCTGTAGTGGTTGGGTGGGAGTGTGGTGTGTGGTGTGTGTGTGGTGTGTGTGTGTGGTGCGTGTGGTGTGTGTGGTGTGTGTGTGGTGTGTGGTGTGTGTGGTGTGTGCGGTGTGTGCGGTGTGTGTGTGGTGTGTGTGTGTGGTGTGTGTGCGTGGTGTGTGTGGTGTGTGGTGTGTGTGTGGTGTGTGTGTGTGCGGTGTGTGTGTGGTGTGTGCGGTGTGTGGTGTGTGTGTGGTGTGTGTGTGTGGTGTGTGTGTGCGGTGTGTGTGTGGTGTGTGTGTGTGCGGTGTGTGTGTGGTGTGTGCGGTGTGTGTGTGGTGTGTGGTGTGTGTGTGGTGGTGTGTGTGGTGTGCGGTGTGTGTGTGGTGTGTGGTGTGTGTGTGTGTGTGTGTGTGGTGTGTGCGGTGCCCTCTCCTTGCCGTGCGAGTCTTTGAGTCTTAGTGAGGCCTTCCTGGGCAAACACTCACAACGTGGTCATAATAATGAAAACAAATAAAAGTAAATAATACATTGCAGTACGGCCTGTGGAGTAAAACTTGGATGTAGAGTGGGGGAGACAGAGAGAGTGGGGGAGGGTGGAGCGTTTATGCAGGATCGTCGGCCCCGGTGCGAAATTAAATCCAATTCAAAGTAACGAAAAGAAACTCGCTTGCAAATGGGTCGCTGTTCACGATGCACAGGCGGCGCTTGCCGTTTGGGGTGGGACCGCGGTGGCCTAGTCTCTCTCTGTCGCTCGCTTTGTCGCTCGCTCACTCTCTCTCTCTGTCGCTCGCTCTCTCGCTCGTTCGCTCTGTCGCTCGCTCTCTGTCGCTCACTTTCTGTCGCTCGCTCTGTCGCTCTCTCGCTCTGTCGCTCGCTCTCTCACTCGCTCGCTCTCTCTCGCTCTCTCACTCTCTGTCGCTCACTCTCTGTCGCTCGCTCTGTCGCTCTCTCGCTCTGTCGCTCGCTCTCTCACTCGCTCTCTCTCTCTCACTCTCTCTCGCTCTCTCCCGCTCTCTCGTGTGTCGCTCTGTGCGGTGTCCCTCAGACCCCTACCAGCAGGGCGGAGGGCCCCAGCAGCAGCAGCAGCACATGGTGGGGGTGGGGGGGGCAAACGTGGGCGGGCCGCCCCCCCCTCTCCCCTCGGACGCCTACCTCGTCTCAGCGGCCGCACAGCAACAACAACAACAGCAGCAACAACAACAACAGCAGCAACAGCAGCAGCAACAACAACAACAACAGCAACAGCAGCAGCAACAACAACAACAGCAGCAGCAGCAGCAGCATCAGCAGCACCACGCGGACCTGGTGGGGCGGGAGAACCCCATCACGCTGATGATGTCGCGCATGTCCCAGTTCCCGATGCCCAGCGCCGTGCCGCTGTACCACGACGCCATCCAGACGCTATCCAGCTCCGACGAGGACCCCATGGGGGACCGCTCCCCCGACGGGGCCGCCGGCGGGGGCGGGGGGGCTGTGCCGCCCGGGATGGGGGTCTCCGATAGGTCGCCCGGCCCCAACCCCCGGGGGGGGGGGATGCCTCCGGGTGAGTGCCGCCGGGACCGCAGGGGGGCGGGGTGGGGAGTGGGGGGGCGGGGTGGGGGGCCGGGTCTCGGGGTCGCAGCGTTGAGGTCGGGTCTTGGGGTCGCAGTGTTGAGGGCGGGTCTCGGGGTCGGAGAGTTGAGGGCGGGTCTCGGGGTCGCAGCGTTGAGGTCGGGTCTCGGGGTCGGAGTGTTGAGGTCGGGTCTCGGGGTCGGAGTGTTGAGGTCGGGTCTCGGGGTCGGAGAGTTGAGGGCGGGTCTCGGGGTCGGAGTGTTGAGGGCGGGTCTCGGGGTCGGAGTGTTGAGGTCGGGTCTCGGGGTCGCAGTGTTGAGGTCGGGTCTCGGGGTCGGAGAGTTGAGGTCGGGTCTCGGGGTCGCAGCGTTGAGGTCGGGTCTCGGGGTCGGAGTGTTGAGGGCGGGTCTCGGGGTCGGAGTGTTGAGGTCGGGTCTCGGGGTCGCAGCGTTGAGGTCGGGTCTCGGGGTCGGAGAGTTGAGGGCGGGTCTCGGGGTTGGAGCGTTGAGGTCGGGTCTCGGGGTCGGAGTGTTGAGGTCGGGTCTCGGGGTCGCAGTGTTGAGGTCGGGTCTCGGGGTCGCAGTGTTGAGGGCGGGTCTCGGGGTCGCAGTGTTGAGGTCGGGTCTCGGGGTCGCAGTGTTGAGGTCGGGTCTCGGGGTCGCAGTGTTGAGGGCGGGTCTCGGGGTCGCAGTGTTGAGGTCGGGTCTCGGGGTCGGAGTGTTGAGGGCGGGTCTCGGGGTCGGAGTGTTGAGGTCGGGTCTCGGGGTCGCAGCGTTGAGGTCGGGTCTCGGGGTCGGAGAGTTGAGGGCGGGTCTCGGGGTTGGAGCGTTGAGGTCGGGTCTCGGGGTCGGAGTGTTGAGGTCGGGTCTCGGGGTCGCAGTGTTGAGGTCGGGTCTCGGGGTCGCAGTGTTGAGGGCGGGTCTCGGGGTCGCAGTGTTGAGGTCGGGTCTCGGGGTCGCAGTGTTGAGGGCGGGTCTCGGGGTCGGAGTGTTGAGGGCGGGTCTCGGGGTCGGAGTGTTGAGGTCGGGTCTCGGGGTCGCAGTGTTGAGGTCGGGTCTCGGGGTCGGAGAGTTGAGGGCGGGTCTCGGGGTTGGAGCGTTGAGGTCGGGTCTCGGGGTCGGAGAGTTGAGGGCGGGTCTCGGGGTCGGAGTGTTGAGGTCGGGTCTCGGGGTCGGAGAGTTGAGGGCGGGTCTCGGGGTCGGAGAGTTGAGGGCGGGTCTCGGGGTCGCAGTGTTGAGGTCGGGTCTCGGGGTCGGAGAGTTGAGGGCGGGTCTCGGGGTTGGAGCGTTGAGGTCGGGTCTCGGGGTCGGAGAGTTGAGGGCGGGTCTCGGGGTCGGAGTGTTGAGGTCGGGTCTCGGGGTCGGAGAGTTGAGGGCGGGTCTCGGGGTCGGAGAGTTGAGGGCGGGTCTCGGGGTCGCAGTGTTGAGGTCGGGTCTCGGGGTCGGAGAGTTGAGGGCGGGTCTCGGGGTTGGAGCGTTGAGGTCGGGTCTCGGGGTCGGAGTGTTGAGGTCGGGTCTCGGGGTCGCAGTGTTGAGGTCGGGTCTCGGGGTCGCAGTGTTGAGGGCGGGTCTCGGGGTCGGAGAGTTGAGGGCGGGTCTCGGGGTCGGAGTGTTGAGGTCGGGTCTCGGGGTCGGAGAGTTGAGGCCGGGTCTCGGGGTCGGAGAGTTGAGGCCGGGTCTCGGGGTCGGAGCGTTGAGGCCGGGTCTCGGGGTCGCAGCGTTGAGGTCGGGTCTCGGGGTCGCAGCGTTGAGGTCGGGTCTCGGGGTCGCAGCGTTGAGGTCGGGTCTCGGGGTCGCAGCGTTGAGGTCGGGTCTCGGGGTCGCAGCGTTGAGGCCGGGTCTCACCGCGTTCCCCCCCCCCCCCCCCCCGTGCTCTAGGCCTGAGCCGCGTCCGTGGCGTGGGTCCCGTGCCCGGCCTGCACGACCCCCTGGGCCTTCACGTGCCCGGCCTGCCGCCCTCCCACGGCGGGCCCCAGCGGGCCCCCGACGGCGGCCTCATGATGTCGCCCGGCGCCATGATGTCGCCGCGCCCGCCGCCCTCCATGATGTACCCGCCGGGGGGCAACCCCATGATGCAGCAGCAGCAGCAGCAGGGGGGGGGCGGGCCGCCCCACCACGAGGCCATGCTGCAGCCCATGATGGGTGGGGGCGCCCCCCAAGCTCAGATGCTTCGCCTGGGGGGCGGCCCCATGATGGGGGGGGGGCAGCAGCAGCCCCCCATGGCGCCCTCCTCCCATCATGCCTTGCAGCAGATGGGCGGCAGAGCCTTCAGCGGGAGCCTGCAGCAGCAGCAGCAGGGAGACCCCTACGGGGTCGGGCGCGGGGGGGCCGGCGGGGGGCCGCCCCCCCCGCCGGGGGCCATGGGGGGCCCCGGGGACCCGTTTGGAGGGGGGGGCCCCCCTCCCCCGGACGTGTTTGTGGACGTGGAGCTGCAGGACGTGATGAGGACGGGCGTCGGGGGCATCCCCGAGTTCGACCTCTCCAGGATCATCCCCTCGGAGAAGCCCAGCCAGACGCTGCAGTACTTCCCCCAGGTGAGCGGGGGGGGGGGGGGCTGGGAGGCGGGGTGGGGGGGGGCTGGGGTGGGGGGGGGCTGGCGGGATGGGAGGGGGGGGCGCTCTCTAAGTCCCTCGTTGACGCCATCCCACCTCACGCGCCGTTTTGGCTTTTCGCGAGCGGCGTTGTTGGCGACGAAGTTCTTCTTTAGTTGGGTTAGTTGAGGGGTCGGCGACCCGCGGGTCATCGGAGGCCCCCCCCCCCCCCCTGACGCCCCGTGACCGCTCGTCACCAAGGACCCGCCACCCACGCCCCCCCTCGTGGTCACCGCACGGCGCGTCGCTGGAAATGTTGAGGGGTTTTTTTCTTTTTACCAAATTCGCATTTTCCTTTTTACCAAATTCGCATTTTCCTTTTTTTACCCTTTTTTGTCTTGGTTGGCGACCCTCCCCACCCACCCGTCAGTCGTGCACCAGAGGCCGCTAGAGAGGCCTCCAGCGGCCTCTAGCGGCCTCCAGCGGCCTCCAGCGGCCTCTAGCAGCCTCTAGCGATGCCTCTAGCCTAGCCTCTAGCGATGCCTCCAGCGGCCTCTGGTGGGCGAGTCGTGCACCCCACGACTCGCCCACGATTGTCGTCTCTCGCGTGGTGGACCCACGCCGCAGACCGGGGGGCGCGGGTGGGCGGCGGGGGTCACGGCGGGGGTCACGGCGGGGGTCACGGCGGGGGTCACGGCGAGGGTCACGGCGGGGGTCACGGCGGGGGTCACGGCACGTTCACGTGGCCACCAGCTTCGTCGGGGAATCAAGAGACACGGACTGGGGCTGTTGTCTGTGATTGATCCCTTCCCCTCTCCCTCCCCTCCTCCTCCACCTCCCGCCCCCACCGCAGGTCTCGCCCCGCTCCGTGCCGCACCACCGCCAGCCGCCCCCCTCGCAGTTCCACGCGGGCGGCGCTCGCGCCATGATGGGCCTGCGCTCCCCCTACACCGCCCAGGCCCTGAGCCGCGCTCAGCAGCAGCAGCAGCAGCAGCAACAACAACAACAACAGCAGCAGCAGCAACAACAACAACAACAACAGCAACACATGCACATGCACATGCACGACCCGGCGGGCGCGGGGCCCCACTCGCACGGCCGCCCGGGCCTGCCCATGGGCCCTCCTCCCACGCCGCACCCGGGGGCGGCCGCTGCCTCGGGCGGGCCCTGCCTGCCCTCCATGCAGCAGCAGCAGCAGCAGCAGCAGCACCACCAGCACCACCAGCAGCAGCAGCAGCAGCACGTGGACATGATGATGCCCTCGCACATGCAGCAGCAGCAGCAGCAGCAGGGCTCGTCGCCGGGCGGTCAGGTGGGGCAATCACCGCAGCAGCAGCAGCAGCAGCCGCTGATGCACCACCACGGCATGCTGGGTCCCGGCAAGCAGCGCGGCCAGGCTGGCGGCGGCGGCGGCGGTGCGGGAGGAGGCGGTGGAGGGGCCGCGCTGTCGATGGAGCAGCTCGGTCACCACCACATGGTGGGAGGCCCCGGCGGGCCCGTCATGATGATGCCCGAGCAACAGCAGCAGCAGCAGCAGCAGGAGCTGCTGAATCTGCAGCAGCAGCAGCAGCAGCACAAGGCTATGAGGCAGCGGGGAGCTCTGCCCGCCATGGACATCGGCTATGGGCCAGGCCACCCGGGCAGCTTGCCCTTCTGAGGCCTCCCCTGCGCCACCGGGCTCACTGAATGCAAAGTTGCTGTGGGGGGGGGGGGTGGGGAGGGGGGGCGGGGGTGGTGTCAACGTGAGGACCGGACGGTGCCACAGGGGAGGCTGCGGCCGCCCGTGTCCCCACCGGCAAAGTCTTTTACCTCTTCTACTTTCTCTCGGTGTTGTTTCGTTTGCCGCCGCCGCCGGCGCGAGGGAGCGGTGGCCGTGTCGGTAGCGCCCCCCCGTCCCCCCCACCGCCCCCTGGCCCCGCTTGGCCCCCGAGCCGGATGCGGAGACGTCGCCCCCCCTCGTCGCGAGGCCCCGCCGGCGTGGCCCCGTTGGGTTCCCGGCTCGGCAAAGAGCCGCCGGGGGGAACCTTCCGTGTCGCCGGAGACGGGGCGGGGGGGAGTCGCTCCCCGCAGCAGGGCGTGCTGGCAATTCGGTGGTGATTACGATGAAGGTCACGGTGGTGATTACGGTCAAGGTCACGGTGGTGATTGCGGTCAAGGTCACGGTGGTGCTTACGGTCAAGGTCACGGTGGTGACGGTGACGACGCTGGCGGTTGAGCGGGCCGAGTCGAGCCCCGGCTGGGATTTGAACTCGCGACCTTTGAACTGTTGAGGCCGGTCGGGCGGTGATGGCGCCGGAGCCTCGCAGCGCTGGACCCTGCTGGTGACCTCCCCCCCTGCCCCCTGCCCCACCCCTCCACCCTCCACCCTCCTCCCTCCTCCCTCCTCCCTAATGTTCACCCGCAGGTATTGGACCTCAGCTCGTCGTAGCTACCCCCACGATCATCGTCATCCCCGTCTCCATCGCCACGCACGGTGTCAGTACATCGCCACCGCCACCATCGTCACCGCCGTGACCACCATCTGTACCACCACCATCATCATCGTCATCACCCTCACCGCCACCGCCACCATCATCATCATCACCCTCACCGACACCGCCACCATCATCATCATCACCCTCACCGACACCGCCACCATCATCGTCATCACCCTCACCGACACCGTCACCATCATCATCATCACCCTCACCGACACCGCCACCATCATCGTCATCACCCTCACCAACACCGCCACCATCATCGTCATCACCCTCACCGACACCGCCACCATCATCGTCATCACCCTCACCGACACCGCCACCATCATCGTCATCACCCTCACCGACACCGCCACCATCATCTTCATCACCCTCACCGACACCACCACCATCATCGTCATCACCCTCACCGACACCGCCACCATCATCATCATCACCCTCACCGACACCGCCACCATCATCATCATCACCCTCACCGACACCACCACCATCATCGTCATCACCCTCACCGACACCGCCACCATCATCATCATCACCCTCACCGACACCACCACCATCATCGTCATCACCCTCACCGACACCGCCACCATCATCATCATCACCCTCACCGACACCGCCACCATCATCATCATCACCCTCACCAACACCACCACCATCATCGTCATCACCCTCACCGACACTACCACCATCATCGTCATCACCTCCACCGACATCGTCGCCATCACTCCCGTGAACATCATCATTCCGGGGCGGGTAAACTGCGTGTCGTCGATGCGTCACGGGAGTTTTGAGCGTGGTTGTGTTTTTACAAGGAGACCGACCCCCCCCTCTCCCCGTCAAAGGAATGTGGAATTTCCACCACTGGCTCAGAGAGAGCAAGGAAGAGGATCGGTGCTGCCCCCTGCGTGTGCCTCCGAGAGAGAGAGCAGCAACCCGCAAACACTCTGCAAGTCTCTGCGAGTCTCTGGATCTCTACACAAGTATCTGGGTCTCTGTGTGAGTTTCTGGGTCTCTATGTGAGTCTATGGGTCTCTGTGAGTCTATGGGTCTCTCTGTGAGTCTCTGGGTCTCTGTGTGAGTCTATGGGTCTCTATGTGAGCGTCTATGGGTCTCTGTGTGAGTCTGTGGGTCTCTGTGTGAGTCTGTGGGTCTCTGTGTGAGTCTGTGGGTCTCTGCATGAGTCTCTGTGTTTCTCTGTGAGCCTCTGGGTCTTTGTGAGAGTCTATGGGTCTCCCTGGGACTGTGTGATCAGGCTCTGGGTCTCTGGCGGTCACTGGGGTGAAATTTAAAGGCTATCTCCTCCAGTGTACATACACACGCGTGTGTGTGTGCCTCCTCGTGTAAATGCACCGCCGTTACGGTCACCATCTCCCTCTTCTCCGTTAGTACCGCGGCCACAATGCGCCAAGTCACTTGTCCGTTCCCGCCCCCCGGGACAGTGGGAATGTTGGTGGAGCTGTGAGGTGGTCGCATCGACGTCGTCGTGTTGGCCGGTGGGGCGGCCTGGGCTCCATTTCCGACTTGGGCTGCTGCCTTGCCGTGTGTGGGTGTGTGTGGGGGTGTGTGGGAGTGTGTGTGGTTGTGCGGGTGTGTGTGGGTGTATGTGGGTGGGTGTGTGTGGGTGTGCGGGTGTGTGTGGGTGTGTGGGTGTGCGGGTGTGTGTGGGTGGGAGTGTGTGTGTGGGTGTATGGGTGTGTGGGTGTGCGGGTGTGTGGGTCTGTGTGGGTGTGTGGGTGTGCGGGCGTGGGTGTGGGTGTGTGTGTCTGGGTGTGCGAGAGTGTGGGTGTGTGGGTGCGTGTGTGGGTGTGTGGGTGTGCGTGTGTGTGTGTGGGTGTGCGCGTGTGCGGGTGTGGGAGTGTGTGGGTGTGAGTGTGGGATTGTGTGTGTGAGTGTGTGTGGGTGTGAGTGTGTGTGTGTGTGTTTGGGTGTGCGAGGGTGCGTGTGTGTGTGTCTCCCCCTCTGCTGGACAGGTGGTTTTCTCCACGTTTCCTTCTCCCATCCCATAGCTCGCCGGCACAGTGGCACACGAGGGGTGGTTGGCCAGCACCACGCTCGGACCGCCTTTGTCTCGCCAGTGGCGATGTCTTTTAACACACAGCACCAGCTACTCATGTTGAGGCTGAGTCGACCTAGGGGGGAGGCCCATCACCGGTTCAGATAATCGTCACCGGTGTTGGCTGTGAGCGGGAATCGAACTCGGGTCGCCGGGTTCGACCGCTAACCACCACGCTACCGCTCCCCGCACACACGCAGTGCATAACTGGCGTCCGCCAAACATCCTCAACGCCGAATAATCACCGAATAATCACCGAATACCGAATAATCACTCGGTGATGCTTTTTTTCCCGGGCGAATGAGCAGAATGGATGCGGAGAGCGAGGTCACGTGGACGGTCTGCGTAGAGCGAGAGCCGCGTTTGATGCCGTGATGCACGCTGGGATGACGCTAGAGGTGCTGCTGCCGCCACCTGAGCCCGGGTGGTTTTCGTTTCCTCCTTTCTCGGGGTCGTTGCCGATCGTTGCCGCCCCCACTACCGCCCCCACTACCGCCCCCACTACCGCCACCAATACCGCCCCCACTACCGCCCCCACTACCGCCACCACTACCGCCACCACTACCGCCCCCACTACCGCCCCCACTACCGCCCCCACTACCGCCCCCACTACCGCCACCACTACCGCCACCACTACCGCCCCCGCTACCGCCGCCGCTGCCGCCCCCGCTGCTACCGCCACCACTACCGCCCCCACTACCGCCACCACTACCGCCCCCACTACCGCCCCCACTACCGCTCCCACTACCGCCACCACTACCGCCCCCACTACCGCCCCCACTACCGCCCCCACTACCGCCCCCACTACCGCTCCCACTACCGCCCCCACTACCGCCCCCACTACCGCCACCACTACCGCCCCCACTACCGCCGCCGCTGCCGCCCCCACTACCGCCCCCACTACCGCCCCCACTACCGCTCCCACTACCGCCCCCACTACCGCCCCCACTACCGCTCCCACTACCGCCACCACTACCGCCCCCACTACCGCCCCCACTACCGCCCCCACTACCGCTCCCACTACCGCCCCCACTACCACCCCCACTACCGCCCCCACTACCGCCCCCACTACCGCCGCCGCTGCCGCCCCCACTACCGCCCCCACTACCGCCCCCACTACCGCCGCCGCTGCCGCCCCACTACCGCCCCCACTACCGCCACCACTACCGCCCCCACTACGCCCCCACTACCGCCCCCACTACCGCTCCCACTACCGCCACCACTACCGCCCCCACTACCGCCCCAACTACCGCCCCCACTACCGCCGCCGCTGCCGCCCCCGCTGCTACCGCCACCACTACCGCCGTCCCTGCCGCCCCCACTACCGCCCCCACTACCGCCCCCACTACCGCCCCCACTACCGCCCCCACTACCGCCCCCACTACCGCCACCACTACCGCCCCCACTACCGCCCCCACTACCGCCCCCGCTACCGCCGCCGCTGCCGCCCCCGCTGCTACCGCCACCACTACCGCCGTCCCTACCGCCCCCACTACCGCCCCCACTACCGCCCCCACTACCGCCCCCACTACCGCCCCCACTACCGCCCCCACTACCGCCACCACTACCGCCACCACTACCGCCCCCACTACCGCCCCCACTACCGCCCCCACTACCGCCACCACTACCGCCCGCAAACCTCGAGCACTGTCGTTGAGAAATCACCCGCCCCCCTTTCTCCCGGTTCACTTTGCCACGTGCGCCAAGTGGAGTTACCCACCAAACGTTAGAACCCTGTGGCGATCGCACCCGTTCAACACTGCTGGTGGTCAGAGGTGGTTGGGGGGGAGGGGGGAGGAAAGGGGAGGGGAGGGAGGAGAGAGGGGAGGGGGGCAGCTTTGGCAACCTCGTGTCTCTCGTTGTTTTGACCGTCGTGCCCGCGGGAGCTGGGAGTCGAACCCGCAGCACGCTCCGGGTGGCGGGTCCGGGTGGAGCTGCTGACTCGGCTACCCCCAACTTTGTTTGGGTGGCGGTGTGGAGTTAGTTGTAAAATGGGATACTAGGGAATGTTGGCGCAGCGGTGACATCTTTTTTAACAAGCCTCGAAGCCAGTGGTTGAAATTCCACATTCCTATGGCCGGGGTATCGAGTGTTCAAAAGGTCAACCAACCGCTGTTGGTTTCCCACGGGGAAAAAAAAAATCTGTGGTTCTCATTTTATCCGGCATCAGAAGCGTTGGCGTGACCTCGTTGGCGTGAAGTGGTGGGGGGAGGGTGTGAGGGGGGGTCCTTCCACATGGCATCGTCACCTCGCCCCTCCCGTAGCCTGCTGCAGTTGCACCGCCTGTACACGTGACAGTCAAGCCACTGACTCTCTCTACCCTGACCCCAACGCGCGCACACACACACGGGGCGCACACGTTTACACACACGTCCCAAACACACACGTCCCAAACACACGACAACCACAGCCGCCATTCACCACAGAGTGCCGGTGGGGTCACCACGGCACCTGTGCCAGGCTACCGCAGAACCTAAAGAGAATTCCACGCGAGCACGGGGGGAGAGCGACACGCAAACTCCAAATACACAGCAGCAGCAGGCGTCAGGGATCGGCCTCGAACCCAGCACCTCCTGCAGACCAGGCGAGGGAGTCAACATCTCCGAGCCACCGTGGTGCCCACACACGCACACCACATCCCAACACCGGCACACGCACGCATCCCAACAGAGACGTACACGTACGTGTACGTACACATGCGTACGTACACTTACGTACGTACGTACGTAAGTGTACGTACGTACGTACACGTATGTACGTACGCGCACGCACCGGTAGTGCACTGTGGTTGGCATGAGCCCCCTGGGGTTGCTCAAAGAATGAATTCCTTGCACCCCCCCCCCCTCAGCCTGCTCACCCCTCCCCTCCATCGTCTGGTGATGGTTTTGCATTTGGGAGGTGCCGGGTGGAAGGGGGGGCGACTGTCATTGCTAATGACTTGGACGGGCGTGGATATTTTTTTGCTAAATGGGCAAAGTGATTTCGTACTCCCCCCCCCCCCCCCTTGTTGTTATAATGCAGTATACGTATGTACC